CCTCCCCAGAGTCACACAAACATCTACTACAAGGTCTGAGGGTTCCTCCCTCTTGGCTTTCCTCAATCCAGCCCTCCACGGGGTGCTCCTCCAGTTTAATTCATGGTTAAGGGACACCTGCGCCATAACCTTGGCCCCCTTTGCCCCACCAGCTCCTTGGCTCCTCCTGGCTATAGCCCTCGTCTGCAATTTTAGGATCCCTTAAGACTTGACTACACCTCTTCCTTCCCTCCTCCACCCTCGTTTGGCTGTGGGCACTCCTCTAGTCTCTGCCTCTTGGGGAAGGGGGCCAGGCTCAGCCTCCTTCAATCACAACACAGGTGTCCTTGTTTCCTCACCCACCCAGGGTAGGGGTGAGACAGTCTGTCTTTTGGTTGACACCTCTTTCTGCCTCTCACAGTTTTTCTCTTTCTCTATCTCTTATTCTCTCTCTCCTGTCTCTAGGTCTGTTCTCTCCCTTTTCCCTAGCACCCCCCCCCTTTCATCTCCTTTACCCTCTTGGCTTCTTGTCCTGTGCCTCTCACATGTGTCCTGGGTTGGGGGCATCAAAGCATCTCTCCCCTCGGCTCTTGGCCCTTCCCAACTTTTCATATCAACTGCTCCCCTCAGTCCGCCAAAACTGGGGGCTTTTGGGGGAAGATTCTGGCTCCGGGCATGGGCAGGCGGCCTCTTTCCCTGCCCTTCTGTGTACTTACTCCAGCCATTAGGGGTGGTTGGGCCACAACTACTACCATGAGAAGAAGTTTCCTGTTGTGTCCAGTGGCTGATAGCAAGATATGAACCAGTGGGGACATTATGGACTTGATCTGATGCCTGAAGGTGGGCACCAGATGGGAAGTGACTCGCTCCAGACAAGAAGTGACCAGGCCTGGACAGAAATGGCCTGGGAGGTGTCAGTACAGCAGGAACTGAACTGGAAGTGCCTTCATCCAGGACAGGAAGTCGCACTCCTGAAATAGGAAGTGGTCTGGCTGGAATTCCAAGTGGCTTAGTCTGGGGAAGGGATGGGGGTGGGGGTGGGGGTATGGGAGGTGGATGGTTCTTACCCTGTGGAGAAGGAGGGACTTCCTGTTTGAGGAGGAAGCTGGAACTTACCACTGTGAGAGGACAGATGTGGACTGAGAACTTTCTTAGTATTCAGTGGCACTCCCCAGGGTCTCCCTTCCCTTGTGCTCTGTGCGATTTTTAGGACAGCTAAGATGATGCCACCTGCTGTGGCAGGGCCCCCCTCTTGTTCTCCCCTTACTCTACCCCAGTGTAATCTCTGTTGACCAACAGGACTACCCCAAGAACCCACACGTTCTCCCCAGTGACAGACAGATTGCTGTCTTGTTGATGCCTTCCTCCCTTCAAGCCCAACACAGCACCCTACTCAGTGACCTAGAGGTGGTCTACTGACTGGTCTAGCTGATGGCAATTATTAGCACTGGTTGCTGTTTCCATAGTGACAAGTCTGTACGTACCTCTTCCTGCTCTTTAGTGCACAACAGGCTGCTGCCTCAGTTTCTTCCCAGCTCAGTTTTATTAGATCCAAGCTGCCTTTAGGCACCAAGCTGGCCACCTCAATCACCAACCAAAACGGTTGCTTTGTCCACCAGAGGTCAAGTCATCTCTCTGGCGCTGTAGTTCCCAGCTCCTTCCAGGGAACAGGAAGTTGATATTGCCATGGGGGAGGTGGCGGGGTATGACCGTCACCTCAATAGTTTTACTGTAAAAGGGAAATTTGAACAACTGAAAACAAGAAAAAAAAAAGAATAAAAAACTTTAAAAGTTGACGAGAAGGCTGGAGAGTGACTGGGCATGAATCTGGGAGTCAGAGTGGCTTTCAAGCTAAGGGTCCACAGAGGTTTGGTCTCGTGGAACCAAGGGGCTTGGGGAAAGAGAACAGTGGTTGGAGTGGTGAAGTGGGCAGTTTATATAGAGGGAATCATGGCTTCAGAGGGCTGAGGGAGGCACGCACCTGTGGAGAGGGCCTGCTGGAACACTCAAATAGTATGTGCCAATGCCGGTCACATGTGGGAGGAGTATCTTGCTACAGGGGAGAGGACACCAGTCACCACTAGCATCACTGGTCAAAACGATCCTGTGAAGGTCTGTTAACTACCACCCCTCCCCAGGGTCCCTCTGACTTGGGAAGTTATGCTGTTGGGAACTAATATGACTGACAGAATAGAGCTGATGAGAAAATTGTGAGACCCCAGAGACCCAGGCGTCAAGTGTGGCTGCTTATATACTGACACCCCAGACTCTTCTCCCCCAAAAGCCCAGGTGCCCATCCCCCTAGACTCAACCCCATTCTCCAACCACAAAAGCCTCCGTCAGGAGCATCACTGGAGCGAGTCAGCGGGGGTCACAACCTCTGCCCTGGCTGCCCTGGCCTGACTTAAGGTTCCCTCCCACTGTCTCCCATCTGCCTGGAGGTCAAGGGGTCCCCCTTCTCCTCTCTCCACAGAGACCCCATCTCAGCAAGATGCCTGGCTCCTCTGAGTTATAGGTATTAAAGGAGGGGAGTTGAAAATTGGGAGACCAGGTACTAGGCTGTGTGGAATTTCCTCTTGCCTTCTGAGCCCACAATAGAGCTGCCCAAAGTGGGGAGGCTCGAGGGGGTTGGAAGGGCTGGTCCCTGGCCCTTAGTGGGGGTTGGTTGTCTTGGAAACATCCCCTTCTCTACACAATGGGAAGCCCCCCTCAGCCTCCCGCGTGGATGGAGCCGACAGCCCCATCGCTGGCTATCAGCCTCAGGGACTTGGCAACCGTCACTATGGCAACACAGAGCCCAGCAACAGGGCCCACTGAGAAAGGGAGGGGTCCAAGACTGGGGCAGGGCTCTGAGTGTGAGGGGACAAGGGCTCTGAGAGTCCCCTTGATGCATCCAGAGGTACAGGCGGATACAAGAGGGAAGAGAAGTGGAGATAAACAGTCTCTGTGACAAACACCTCACCAAAGCAGCCAAGACAACGTAACACGATGAGAGACAGGAAGACACCTGGGACAGATGCACAGCTGGGGAGAGAAACTGCATACACTGCAGAGCGCCCTGGGACACACCCCCTCTGAGCACTGGCATCCACAGACCCCCTGCCAACCACCTGACATTCACAACACCTACAGCCTTTCACATGCACAGTGACTTGTGTGTCTTTTAAGCTATTTGAAAATGCTGGTGACTTCCACATAGAGCCACACATGCCATCTGTTGGCTTTCTGGATACAAGTACACAAACACACTCCAGGGTAACAACTATGACAGGAATAGAAGACCAGGAAGATACTCATTCGTCCATTTGTTCATTCAGTCACCCCACATCCTGTCTACTGTGCTCCAGGTGCCACTTCAGCACTGTGTGCTAAGGCAGAGTCCCTGAGTCATGAAGTCACAGTTTTTGTTTATGTAATGTTTTTATGCCCCTTCCCCATAGAGTGCTAGTGTCAAACCTAGGGCCTTGGATATGCTTGGCATATACTATACCATTGAGCCACACCCCCAGCCCTGAAGTCCACTTTTTTTGTTTAAAATGTATTTAATTTGAATGGTTTTGTCTGTCTGTCTATATGTGCATCCTGTTTGTGTCTCATGCCCAACGAGGTCATGAGGGCATTAGATACACTAGAACTGGAGTTACAGACAGTTGTTGAGCCTCGTGTAGGTACTGGGAACTAAGCCTGGGTCCTCTGCAAGATCATTAAATACTCTTAATCATGGAGACATCTCTCTAGCCTCCCTTCTACCTTTATTTGAGATAGCATCTCACTCTAGCTTAAGTTGGTCTAGAACTATGTTTTTTTTAAGACAGGGTCTTAGTCAGGTGATGGTAGCACATGCCATTAATCCCAGCACTTGAGACCGAGAGGCAAATGGATCTCTGTGAGTTTGAGCCCAGCCTGGAGTGAGTTCCAGGACTGCTAGGGCCACACAGAGAAGCCCTGTCTTGAAAAACCTTAAAAACAAAACAAAGAAATCCTCTCACACAACAGGGTTTTATTATAGATCAGGATGGCCTGGAACTCCGAGGTCTGCCTGCCTTTGTTTCCTAAGTGCTGGGATTAAAGGGGTTTGACTCCACACCTGGCCTGTGTTTAGCTTTTGAAGTCCACTTTTGTTTTGTTTTGTTTTGTTTTGTTCGAGATAGGGTTTCTCTGTATAACAGAGCCCTGGCTGTCCTGGACCTCACTTTGTAAGCTAGACTGGCCTCCAACTCACAGGGATCTGCCTGCCTCTACGGGGACTAAAGCCATCACACCTGGCTTGAAGTCCACATTTTGATGGGGAACAGCATATTACAATTTCAGTTCATGAAAACATATTCAGTCTGAGATGGAAGAGTTTAAGGCCAACCTGGACTATAGGGTGGATGAGACCATGACAAACAAAAAAAGACCAAACAAATAAACAAAACCCAGTGTAGCAGGGTTAACCTTTCAGATTTGGAGGCCAGAGGGTCCCTGTGAGATGCTGGGAACTGCAATGGGAAAGGCAGGAAGAGGCAAGAGCAGGAGAGAAAATTTTGATGTGCTTGGTAATAACAGGGACATCTTCCTTATTTTTGTTCCAGATAGTCCCTGTCTCTCTATAGCCTCAGCACGAGGGACAGAAAGTCACTTCAAGAAGCTGGTTTAGTCAGGGAAATTGAAGCAGTCATTAGAAGTCTCCCAACCAAAAAAAGCCTAGGGCGGAGTCCCTGTCTCTCTATAGCCTCAGCACGAGGGACAGAAAGTCACTTCAAGAAGCTGGTTTAGTCAGGAGTGGTGGTGCACACCTTTAATCTCAGCACTCAGGAGGCAGAGGCAGGCGGGTCTGTGAGTTCCAGGCCAGCCAGGGCTACACAGTGAGAGCCTGTCTCAAACAAACAAGCAGAAAAGACAAAAGGGAAGCAGAACAGTGGATCTAGCTTGGTCTCCCATCTCCTCCCCTTTGTTTCCTGTGTGTCTGGACCAGTTCTCAAGGACCTTTGAAGTCCTGGGAAGACACGATGATGCTCAGACCAGGACACAAAATCCTGAGCAGGAAGCAGAGTATGGCAGCAGCAGTTTTCAATCCCAGCACTGTGGAAGGTGGAGGAGGAGACTTGAGTTTGAGGCCAGTGTGACCTATGAAGTGAAACCCTATCTCAGATAAGCAACAAAACAAAATAAAAATGAAATGAGTCTAGAGTGGGCAAGTAGAGCAGAACTAAAAGATGTGAGTAGGCTAGGGACCTCGATGTTAAAGCTGCCTTTCTCAACAGCCTAAGATCAAGGCTATCCTGGGGGCTGAGCTGCAGAGGTGCAAGCTTTTCCATCCTTTGCAGCTTAAGGGATACAACTTCCACCCATTTGGATCGTGGCTTGCTTTGGGGAGTGCTAACAATATGGAAATGGGGTGAGGAGTTGCAATAGAAATTTCTTTTTTAAAGTGTGTGTGTGTGTGTGTGTGTGTGTGTGTGTGTGTGTTAGGGAACATGCATGCCATGCCATGGTGTGTGTGTGTGTGTGTGTGTGTGTGTGTGTGTGTGTGTTGTAGGGAGCATGCATGCCATGGTGTGTGTGTGTGGGGGGGAACAGAGGCCACATTGTGGGAGTAGGTTCTTTCCTCCTGTCATTTGGGTCCCCAGGATGGAATTCTAGGCTTTGCAGCAGGTGCCTTTGCTGCAATAGAAATATCTGGTGGAGAATGTTTAATGTTACAGCTGAGATTTAAGCTAGAATGAAAAAAAGGGGTGGTTCTCCTAAAGGGAAAGTGGGCACTCAGAGACATGGGGCTCCCTTTTCCCAGGGAGAGGTTCCAGGGCTGCAGGCAGGTTGGGAAAGGGGCTGCACAGTGGTTTGGAGGCAGGGTGCTGGCTTGCTAGAGAAAAGACACGGACTGGGTAGCAAGAGTCATGTGTGGCAGGGCAGGTGAGGTGTGGAGGGAGTTCGAGGCCGCCAGGTTCCAGGTACCCATGAATCTCAGGAGGGCATTGAAGCAGTCCCTTTCCTGGTTCTCCCTCTTCTCCCCCAATGGCACTGACTGGTGGGGTGGGGGCCCCCACGAGCAGCCTTAGGGGGCAGCAGCTGGTGAGTCGGGAGGAATCTGTGTGCTCAGCAAACAGCAGCCTTAGTGCCCAAGGGCTGCCTCCTCCCTCATCAATCAGCCTCAGCCAAATGTCCCTGCATTCCCACCACCCCAAGGGGACTGGGGCTGGGCCAGGGTCCCCAGGGGAGTGAGAAGGGGATGGGTATGTGGAGCTGGGGTGGGGCTTAGGTTTCTATCCATGGGCCTGTGTTCTTCATGTCGTGGAATGACTTTCTTGGCCCCCTGCCACTGTTGGGGCATCAGCTACAAATCACCTGTGAGGGGCTGCTGGTGGAGAAAAGGTTAAGAGGGATGAGTCAGGGTTACAGAAGAACCCGCTCTGGCTCTCACAGGACTGGTCCAGGGATGGTCAGCAGGGAGGCTCCTGATACAGAGGCCCTGTCTTCCAGACAGGGCCTCTGTCTTCTGATGGATGCTCTGGTCAGTCAGTGGAGACCCTGACTCCCTGAACATGTCTTCCCAACTTCTCCTAGCCTAGCACCCAAACCTTATGCCTTGCTTCCCACCAAGATCTAGGGGTGTGAAACCCCACTTCACCCAAAATTTGGTATTACCCACTAGGGACTGTGGCTTCTAGATCTTAGCCTCTGGCTCCCTCTCCCCGTCAGCCCTTACTCCCCTCAGGGACCCAGGCGTCCTGCCCACTCCCTTCACCATAGTAACTATTCTTCTTGGAGTTGCTTAAGACTTTAATATCATTTCATTAAGTCAGTAAGTTCCGAGAAGGTTGGGAGCACAAAGAGACTAGGAGTGGGCCAAAAAGGACCAAGGTAGGGGGGAAGAAGGGAAGAGGCCCCTCTTCTCCGTGGCTTTGGGTAATATTGACAGTGAGAGATCAGAAGTAATTAAATCTGGGACAGGGGTGTGTGGGTAGCTGTGGGAATGGCCGGATGCCTGGGTTCTGAGAGTGGTGAAGGTTCCAGGCACAGACAAAAGCCTGTAGTTGGGAGGATACACTCAGGCTAAGGGACTCCAAGGTACAACTGGTCCATCCCTGTCCCTATCCTTCGGGATGTGCGTAGGCTT